TCTCTCTCTCTCTCTCTCTCTCTCTCTCTCTCTCTCTCTCTCTCTCTCTCTCTCTCTCTGTGTGTGTGTGTGTGTGTGTGTGTGTGTGTGGATGTCTTCTATTGGATGAATCCTCCTGAACTCGCTCCAGAAGAAGAGACAGCAGCGAGTAAAGCCAAGCGAGGTCTTTTCTTCTTGTTATAGATCACGCTCACCCTACAGATTTACAAACCGCTCTCTTCTTCTTCGTCTTTTTTTTTTTTTTTTTTTTGGGGGGGGTTCTTCTTCGTCTTATTGGGCCTCGCTCCACTATTCTCCACATTCACAAAAGACAAAAACTATGCCGGTGCACCCCCCAATTCAGCATAAGTAGATAGAACCGGCCACCGAAAGGAATAGAGTAGCTCCGACATGGCCAAGGGAGTGTTCGAATCGGGGCCGAGGTGTAGTAAGTGCAAGAAGGCGAGTGGTACGGGCGGGCGCAAGGGAGATTTCACAGGTAGGGGCGAGTCGGTTACCATCCGATACGGGATCTCGGCGGCTCCCCCGGCGTGGGGTTCAGGGTTTAAGCAAGGCACAACAGACTTGTCGGTGGAGGCGGGAGTGGTGCTGGGGAGAACTGACTTTCGGATTCAGGGCAGAATTGGCCGAGGGTAGCGCCATAGGTGCGCAGATGAAATCGTTCGTCGATTAGATGCAGCAAGGCAGCACGCCGCTCCCGGGACTGTCAGGCGAGCTCGCCAAGATTCCGTGGCAGAGATCGAGGTGTTCTCCCTCGTGTCACCATCTTCAGTCAGGCCGTTCTCCGCTCCCTATAGCGGCCGCACAGGGAAATAGGAACTATTGGAAGAAGATCCGTAAGCTCGGGCTCCTTTCCCAGTGATCAAGCACCTAGTGCCTCAAGGCCGCTTATCCGTCCTCTGGGCTGATTGGTGTTCAGACCGGAACTCTTACAAGGGCTGTCTCGGAGAAGCTGGCGTATGGCACAAAGCCTCCGTTAGCTTTGGTGGCAGGCGGGGACAACAGCAGCAAGGTGCCAAGAACAGTGGGTAAGACGGATTAGGGGTCTGGGAGACATTACATGTCGAAATAACACAGCACGGAGAGCAGGGCAGACTGAAGTCAGTTCAGGAGCGTATCCGGGCCTCCCAACTTGAAGGCGGCGAAGCAGTAGCGATCCGGGGTAGGAAGTGACTTCGCCCCGTCCGCCGAGGCAGGTAACGGATTGTGAACTTCCCAAGTCAGGTATTCCTCCCTTACCCGCGGATCTTCCCCTCCACGGCTCCCCACCTGATATTGTCACAACTCTAGCAAAGCTCCTCATCCCCATCCTCCCCCTCCACCTAGTCAGAACACTCGGTTGGTGGCAGACAGGCGGGAAGGGTGCATCCCGAAAAACTTAGAATCTCTTTCACCCTCGGAGCACAGGTTCATCGTCTCCCAACCAATAGTGCTGCGGAGGGTAGCGCAGGCATTCAGGCAGTTTCGGTTTCGTCCCTGGCTGTCATAGTCTCGCTTGCCATGGATGGGAATCAACGTTACGTCAATGGAATGGGGGGGACACAGGAAGAGCTTAGTGAATCTGAGAGAGCCAGGATGTGGAATCTCTTCGATGATTGTTACAGAGAGAGGGTACTCCCATCTGGCCTATGCACCCCCCAATTCACTCGAGTTATCAGAGAACCTGATAGGGTCAGGATCAAAATCGATCCGCGCATGTATGATGTGCAGACACAGTGGCTTAGGGAGCATGTGGTCATGGTATTCTTTGGGCAAGCCGCTGTGTCTCTCCCGGTAGATATTAAACGACGAGCCATTCGGATCTATGAGAATGGCTGGATTGGTATGCCAATGTTGGGGGATGAACCGAGAAGAGGCTTCTTTAGGAATGAAGGTAGGAACCTCCTGTCTTACGTGGCATGTAACAAAGAGGTAGCTCAGTGGATGCTTACGATGGGGTTTGATGGGGTGGAACTCGATGGCAAACAGTACGATCTCCATTTCAAACCATGGATGTCAGAGAAAGAACTGCAAGCCTGGAGAGAGAAACTTAAAATTGAGGCATTTTGGGTGAGATGTCTGCGTGTTCCGATGTCTGTACTGCCGGTTCTGAAAGATGCAGTAGAACTCGCTTTTGGCAAAGTGATCAAGGAAGGCGTGGTGGCCAAAAAGCCAGAAGAACCTGAACTGGCCAGTGTCAGGTTCGATCTGGACGCAGGGGCGAAAGCACGCTACGTCAGATACTTATCTGTCGACCTCCCCCACGACGGGGGGGCTGTCGAAATCGAGGTAGCAGCACCAGATACTCCGTGGTGCGCAGTATGCAAAGGTTTCTTTCACGACGAATTCGAGGATGACTGCCCCGCTCGAAACTGGCGGGGGAACCGAGAAGCGAGACCATCGCAGTTCTGG